AATGTGTGTGCCTCAATAGGCTTTTCCCCCAGAACACCTCTTCATTTTGACGTGTTCTTTGTTCTCTCCGCGTCAGATTATATGTAACCCGAGTCAACACACTACTATCATGCATTTGTTGTGTGCAAACTGGGAACCGGAGAACACAGTTGCCTCCCGGGGTAGGGTAGGGTAGGGGAGGGGTATAGGGACGGGGGAGGGAGAGAAACGGTTGACCTCGCCGTTCGCAACCGACGCATGACCAGGCACAGACACTTGGGTCTGCTTGCACGCTTGTTTGCCAAGGCCCAACCGCGTACGTTCATATCCGACAGTCCAAGCAGATGAACTGGGACGTCGTTCATCGATCCCCTCTGGAAACCGGAACAGACTTGACCGGGGGAGTGAATCGTGTGGCATGCGTCATAAACGACAGTTTTTCCTTGGACCTGATGAACAATGTGTGTGCGCATGAACTCACACTATGATCCTCCACCCCACCCAACCTCCTACCAGACGTACACAGTTTATTTCCAAAGGATGTGGGGTTGATAGGAGTAGTTGATGTGTACAATCCCGGTGCAGTACGTGAAAATAGTTCCCGACACATGTTTACCAAACATGTCCGGATGCATGTATGTGTTATATGCAAGTACTTCTACCACTACCACCACTAATACTACTAGTCACTTACGACCATTGTAGATGATAGAATAGTAACTGTTTTTTGCCGCTTTCTATGGGAACAGACAGTGTGATTTAAAGTCCACGGTGAAGGTCTGTGGAAATTTGTTGCATGAGAGTGTAGGTGTTTTTCTCAAACGCGAAAATGAACGGGTTCGTGAATGGGCAAGGCAACGTGCTCAAACCTAGTTAATAGGTGCTATGGATGGTATACAGCGCTGTAACCGCACCGAATTTAACTCGTTACTAAACTCTAGTAACTTCCAGTGACTTTTCTCGTCCAGATAGGAATGTCACAGTGAGTGAAATGGAACACAGCTGGAAGCGGGTTCGAATGTATCTATTATGCGAAAATCATATTTAGCGAAGACAGGCGAGTGCATATATCAAACGATTGGTTGACTGGATTTCTCTCAACCGTCTTGATTGGTGAGCTGTTCCGACCAATCACCTGAATCCGCCTATCGTTGTTTTGATTAATTGTTTCAGAACAAAGGGGTTTTCATGGAGCATGCTGATCCATCCCTGATACATGAATGTATTTGTTTATTGCGCAAACTGGATAGCAGATCTGTTATTCATTCTTCGCTTCTTTCGCTTCCAAAGAAAAATATAAGATACTGATGTGCCTAGGTGTTTGCGGATGAGAAACAGAGGGTGAGACAGCGAATACTAAGCCAAACGAATGATCAGTGTTGGTCACCAGGCCAGAAGAAGTATTACTATTGCCCATCAGTCGGGGTTATTAAAACATCTGACATCATCATTATCATCACCGATCGTTCGTAAATAAACGGAGATAGATCCTTCCCTCTGCCCGCAAAGAAACTGTGCTCTCTGTGTCCTTTGAACGGAAAAACATAAAATATGAATACGTGTATTCTGTCATGAAAGTATACACAGAGCACAGTTTCTGTGCGAGTGGAGGAGGGGATCTATTCCGCCCTCTCATCTGCATACACCCAGGTACATCACCACCTTAAATTTTTCTATGCAAGCGGAAGAATAACAGATCCGCTATCCAGTTTGCGCATCACACATACATATATATTTATACATATAAACATATAAACATATCTACATACACATTTACATATTTATTCATATACAAATAAAACAAGATAGAAGATGGATAAATAGATAGATAGATAGATAGATAGATAGATAGATAGATAGATAGTTAGATAGATAGATAATTAGAAGCCGCTTCCTCAGTGCGCTCTCCTTATTCGAAACTTCAATTTTCGCCAACTATATACTCAGTCCTTCCTGTCTATTGAAATAATGTCGCTGTTCCCGGTGTGTTATGCCACGAGTATTGATCCCCAAGGAATGAGTTGGAACCACTGGACATACATCCCGGACGACCGAACAAACCCCTCTACCTGTATTTCCTGTACGCCTAATTTAACCCGTAGACGGCTACCCGGGTGATTGTGTGCTGTGCCGCAGATGATCAATTATACTCGCCAGCCCTGATGCATCCGTGTGCCCGTATGTACACAGGTATGTGAGCGAGTGAGTGAGCGTGTTTGTGTTGTTATCAAGGCTGCTGGGGCCGACGAGGCAGCACACACACACGCATTCGGGTTTTTGTATGCCCAGGACAGTAAACGTAAAATCCCCAGTCCGAACGCAATCACGGATGGGACCGATTTTGCGCATATGTTCACGCATCCCGAAAGCGGAAACAATCTGCGTCCGCGCCGAATGTTTCTGCGCCATTTGGCCTCCAATTCTATTTCATGGGAAGCTTAGACTAAATCGTTCATTTCACACCCACGACTAGGCCCCAAAATTGTCCAGGTTAGATTATTCCACAGTTGGTTTGTTTCATTGTACAAAGCGCGACGACTCAAAACTGGCTTCCATCCACCCATACCCATACAAGGCCATCCATTGATTTTTATCTTATTCTGAAGTGAAATCAAAGTGAGTTTGATACTCATTCAATATTTATAAAGGAAACGGAGAACAGTCTATCCAGAGGAGAATGATCATCACAGAATTCGAAAACGCGAAACGTATCACAATATGGTATGCGATTCAACCTTTCTCCTTCTTATCTTTTTTTTCATTTTACTTCCTTTTATTAAATAGACAAAGATACAATTTTCAGGAAAGGGGAAGCGGCCAATCAAAGGGCTGCCATACAACACACAAATGGGGAAAGTCAGACGATGGTGGTGGTGGTGGTGATTCGGACACACAGCTCCGGGTGATAATTTGTTGACGTTACCACGTCAAAGTTTTACCAACCTATTCCCCTGCCGGGGAAGGCGATTGTTATAACTGTGCTCCCCTGGTTTGTGAAGAACACAAGTCAATGAACTGGAACGCGCTGACTACATTTGTGTCAATACGATTTGCTGAGTGAATGGGTGAAATACAGATCAATAAAACCTTGCGTTTGTCAATAATGGCGAAATCTATAACAGATCGACCGTAAGTCACGTAACATCTGATGCGATTGAGTTGAGGCAGAATTCTCATCGCAGTGGTTTAATTTACTCCAGACACTAAGCTCAACTGTGTCACAAACCAATTCCAGTTTAGTGTTGAAAAACGAATTTCACAGTTCAGTCGAATGAAGGACAGGTATTTTTACACATTGCCCCGTCGATGCGGCTTGTGCAAATCAAGCTCCGTTTGATCAAGTCAGAGTCGGAAATGGGAAACCGTTACATCAACAGTCCGATAGGACTTATGATTGGGCAGTGTTACCGCATTATGTCGCCAGTGAACGGAATCTAGTTGACACGTGAATGCAGTCCGAAAATATATATTCACCAGTTACAATTGGATAACAAATGACAATTTATAAATAAAAATGATAAAACTTTTAACAGAAGTTTACCGTTGTAGGTTTAAAATTAGTTTCTTTCGGATCTTCATCTTGTGATTTAGAATACAAACCAGACAGAGAATCTTTAAATTGCAATAGATGTTTGTGCGGGAAGGTTATCACGTGGAAACGGCCAGCAGATAGATCGTCACTGAACATATGACTGGGGTCGTTGAGTATCTTATGGGCAAAATTCTCATATGAAGTAATAGGAAAATCACACAATTTTGTGATCAGAGTGTTTAAAGGAATAAGAGAAACTCGGCTGGTAATCATCAAATCGCGATGTAGAGTAATGAAATCCTTTCTAAGTAGTCCAGGGAAAATAGCGGGCAAACAATAAAGTATGACAGAAAAAATGAAAATGATAGACAAAGGAACATATAGTTTCATGCCTCGCTCGAAATTTTCGTAGCTTGCGTAATTGAAAAGATAAGGGACACACTCTGTCAACACAGGCCAGCACATGAGATCACTCTCTCTATTGTGACTCCTAAGGTATTTGGTGAAATGTGTTCTGGTGACGGGTACGGAATTGATGACGGAGGATTCGAAGGGATACTAGGATCGAGAAAGACTAAAAACACATTCGAAAAATTTAAAAGCATTTACCTGAAGACCGGATGGGTTCGGGAATAAATGCATTTGTAACAAACTGTCAGAAAATGATATTCACCTTTTCAAGACACCATTCATTTTATGTCTCTCGAACTCGGTCGGATGTTATCGAAGTCTATCGTTTTACGGAACCAAACAACCACAATTTCGGAAAGTTTTGTCGTATTTTTAAAATCAAAAAGGGAAGCCAATAATGTGTGAAGGGGGAATGAAACACCTAGTTCTCACACACTGTCGGTTTGGGATAACCACGTTGCAGTCCTCAAACAAAAAACTACTTCGACCATCATCATCATCATCATCATCATCCTCATCGTTAGTACGATCAATGTGGATGATCGGCTCGCTGGTGACAGCCTTTTTCCGCAAACAGAATCGGACAACCATGCCTGATTGATTTTGCAGTGCGTGCGGTCACAAGAGACGAAGACCGATCCTTTCGGATCGAAATTCCGGACCCGACAGGATCACGGCTGACTGACTGACTGACCGATTGACTGACTGATTGGCTGATCATATTGATTTGTCCGGACAAGTCAAATTGCAAATAGAACGGGAAACAGATTTAACTTTGAATGCGCGTCTGCAGTTTCATGCGATGCTGCATCAACCGGGGTAACCTTTCATAGAACACAGAACTGACGTACAATGCAAACACGCAACAATCTACACGGGTGGGCAAAATAACCTGGCTGATGCTCACGACCTCCAGCAGATGATCTGCTACAATCGAGATAGTTTATTTGGTACTCAAAGTAACTGCATGCTTTATACTATCCCCAGTAATGAGAAATGATCGTTTTCCTGTTAAAGTTATTATGATCACTATGTGTACTTTCTAAAGAGTCTTCAAATAGAAATACCCTTAGGTTCATCATTGCCTTTGCACACTGTGATACAGTGAAAAACGAACTTTATAAACCACTGTATCCGTGGTGCAGTGATGATAACCGATAAACTGAGTCTGGAGATTGAGACAGAGAAATATTTAGCATCCGAAAGCGAAAAGATGTGATCATCAGCTATCATAGAGACATATTGCAAGAGGAAAGGGTTCACATACATTGAGCTGATTGCTCCTCCTAAACGTAACTCAGAAGAGTTCGTGCGGTAGAAACGGTTATGCTATGCGACCTCACATCAGTTCGTATCCATTTGACTATTTGATACACCACCACAGTTGATGTTTTATCCGGGCTTACGTGACTGGAGGTATTGTCGATTTCACGTGTATTTTATCGATCCGTATCGGCTCCATTTTTGTCATTCAATTAGACAATTTGGAATTTCAAACAATCCGTTCTCTATAGCTTAGTGACTGGTGTCTTTTCGTTGACCCGGAGGCGTGGCAGAACATTGAGTGGAACAAATGTCATATTTAGGATGAATTTTGTCGGCTCTGCTTGGACTATAATAGGAACCCCAATTTGGTCTATTTTTCTAACTTGCGATAATTTCACGACATATGTGGAATTCGCACTGCGGCACTGAATATTTTCAAAGGTGGAATTAGACAAAAAATCCGGTGAGAATTTTGACTAATGTTATGAGTAGTATGTTTGGATTGTGCGAACAAAACGTGATTGACTGTTTCTCTCAACGGTCAAAATGAGCAAGACCTCTTTCAGAGCAAACTAATGTGTTCAAAACGGTAACCACGAGAATTATAACACTAGAACACATTAAATCCACTTAGTTCAAATACACCTCATGCTGTCACCATCACAGCAGCTCGAACCATTCTTGAGAAACGCGCAAGAAACGCAGATTATTCACTGATTAAGACAGTTTTCTCAAGTTCAACCCGTCCAATTTCGGTCATAGCATAAAATTGAGATGGTATTTTGAAATTCTCAACGAGAAAACAGTGATTTACTTCCTGAGCACACTCATTTGTAAAGGCTCATTCTCAAGCGGGAATTGAACCAGAAAATACCATGCTTCGCATAATATTGCCTTCTCCACCCCACTACCACCTCCGAAGTCTCTGATCACACTTTAATGGCAATTCAAAATCGGCAAATCGATCGGTCTTTATGAGTTAAACAACAGAAGGAAGTGTAGTATTCTCCCGTAGCAAATCCTGATTCAACTGATGTTATATTTCAGTGCTTTCAAAAATACAAAACAACAGGACTTTGTGCCACTAAGTGATGCACTACTCTACTGAGGACAACACACGACAAACACACAACCTTTTCTTATTCCGACTTACCTCTGTTCGATCGATCGATTGGGATTTACCGAGGAGACCTTCAGTTGTGATTCGCTTGCCAGATAGAGCTACTACCGGTTGTGGATGATTCGGAACACGTTTTCCATGCACGGTTATTCCAGGATCAGCTAGGGACCAAGAGGGTGTAGTAGTGACAGATCGATGGTGCGGATGCAACCGCGCAGTAGCTGAACCGGTCAAAAGACGCATCGGATCACATCGGGCCGCGTAATCCACAGGGCCACTGGTGGCCGATGTAGCCATACGGATAGGGTAGGGTAGGTAGATAGAGATGAGGAGTTCAACAGATCCTATGTTCTTGATCCAATCGAACCGGTTGACGTAAAGCCAGTGTGTCCAAACCGATCGGTCATAAGGCTAGGCAATATGTGTGTGCGTGCATTCAAAATCGACGGGACAAGTGTAGCAAAATTCAACCGGATGATGATGAAACAGGGAAATAGAAATGCTCCAGACTGTCCCACTCAGACGACAGAACACGTGAACAAAGACAACAGGAATGAGACATTTGTTGTTCCACTTGTCTGCATATCGATTTATTTTTCTCCGCGACTGCTTGACTGGTGAGGGCGCTTTTGTGGTCCGTACAGAGCTTCTGAGCACGCGCACGCGCGTTTGTGTGTGTTCTGGTGTCGCGTCCCACATGGAAGCACTAGCCCCAATGACCAATAGGAATAAAATTCACGTGACCCATAGACATTGATTGGATTGGTGAGTTAGTTTGGTCGGACCGGGCTGGGCAGGGGAGGGGTTGAATCCAGGGGGAGGACGTGGAAATAGTTGAGCCCGGATTTTCTAGCCCCCAACCAATCAAAGCGAATTGTTGGCATGGTCATTCACTGGGGAAGTAGATCAGAGGCAGTGTGAACGTCTAACGCGTTACCATGGTATCACAAATACAAATATGGAATACTGTCCAGAAAAATGTTGATTCATTAGATTCATTGAAAATTGGGAACCCGATCAAACACTGGGTGATCTCAGCAGTTCCTTTGTGACTCACAGGATGTACGCATTTCATCAGAGGTGTCTTCTAATCAGTACCAGATTTTAGTTCAACACAAATAAAACGCTAAGACTAGTAACTATGACGATATTGTGCCTCCCCTTGATTTATAATACATATTGTAACAGGGGAGAGGTTGCATTCACTAGACACTTGCAAGAGAATAGAATAGAATGGGAGCGGTTCAAGCGGTTGATATGCCGATGACCTATCGGCATTGACTAACACCCCACTAACAGGGAACTCAAATGAGGTAGGCCTACCTAAGTTGACGATAAGCCAAATGAAGATGATCGGGCGGAGTAATCAATTCTGCGTCGTAAGCTTTTGATTCCATGCATTTTTAAATTACCGCTACCAAGTCAGTAAAACTGCAGTCTAATTGCTGAAATCATGGACTGAAAGTGAAACTACCAATTTCTCCTGATCAGGTGACTAACTCAGGTAGCGCGTTTTATCAAGTCCACGAGATCGATAAAAGGGAACAAATGGAGTTAATGAGTTCGAACGGATTTGACTACAAACGACAGTTGATTCAAGTCACACTGTCATTATTTGGGCAGATTTCACAGTGTTTTTAATTGTAATTGCAGTTATCATTGTTGTTTACATAAAGCATTTTCATTTCAGTTAAAAAATGTAAAAAAATTGGAGAGATGGAGAAAAAAAGGCGATTTAATTTCAAATCACATTTTAACAAACTGAAAACTGGAATAAGTGCTAAACACAGTACCGTAGAGTTACGTTATGTTCGTTTTTTTTGCGAGAGGGAACACAAAGATAATGGGATCTAGCTGATGGATGGGCGTAACAGGAAGTTAAATCTGTGTGCAGTGCATGTGTGGAGTCGATGAGAGTTTCAGGTGCAAAATTTTCACATGAATTCAAATGACGTTAGCAGGGTAGGGCTAAACAGATGCGTCTAATGATCGTCGGGTCACATCCAAGCAGTTTAAAATCTTTCTTTAGTAGATTAGAAAAACAAAAGGTTAACAATGAAGTAAAACGAGGAAAACGCACTGGTGCAGGAATTTGAAGCCAATCGATCGAATCCGACGTTCTCGTAAAGTTATAGTCTGGGAAATCAATAAGACTTTCATCGTTATGGATATTTTATGGGTAGATATCTCCGATATAGGAGAGTTGACCCAAACTGTTCAAAATGTTATGGTTCTTTGGGGGCGGGGAGAGGCGAGTGGAATATTTGTCATTCATTTCTGTGCGCAAAAATATTGCAGTCATCTCGGCAAGTTTATTGTAGTCATCAGACGTCGCTCATCTCAGCACTGGTCTCCAGGTGTATTTTGACTGAGTGGGAAAAGTTCCGAACCTGGATAATCAATACAAACGAGTAAGTAGTGAGAGGGGACAGGGCTCACGGGGGGGGGTGTAGGGAGTTCAAGCGGGTTATATACTGTACTGTACTTCCTAACTTCAGCTCACGCTTCACTCTTTCTGCACTCAAAAGAAAAAACAACTGAATGTTATATGCTCTGTTCTTGAAATACATTGTTCTTTCGTTCCCTCGAGCATTTGACGAATCTCCATTCTCGTGCGGGTTTTTCAAAAAAACCGAACGTCTCAGTATGCTCGGGGGTGGATGTTTGGTGAAATGCTCCCGTGCGATAAAGCGTCTCACATAGCTTCTGTTTTGGGGAAACCCTATCCACTGTCTTCTCGTGGTGGAAGTGTTTGTCCCCACTAAAGTGTGAAGACAAAAAAACAATATCTGGTGCTATAACCGAGTCGGTGAACCAGTGCCAGTTCACCTAGAGCATTTGGCTAAAAACCCCGGATTCGAAATCAATCAAGAACTCCATACACACACTGTTACGCTTGGCGACCGCGTCAGTAATCATGAGCGCTTGTATCTCTTATAGGGACCATTTCGGTTCATGGTGTTTTGTTTGCTTTGCCTTGCAGGTTTAACCTGAACCCCCTCTCACGAAGACCGGTCTGCCAGTGTTTCGTCGCCACCCCCGTGTCCCACATCCCTACCGCCGTTCCCCGCCGTCGTTCGTCGTTCATCGCCCAAAATGCTTCGTAACGTCTCGCGCTGCGAGAATCCAAGCCGAGGCACATTCTGTCGCGCACTTCTATCTATTCACTCCACTGCGCTGCGAGAGCCCGTTCGCATTACATCACACCTTTCTGGTCATGGTACTGGTTACCGGCTCGACTGGATATCGAGATGTATTGGGCACCTTGGACGTTTGTTGCTGTCCAATGAGTGTATGATCCGACGAACTACAGGCCGGCCCCCAATGGACTGAGTTCTTAAAACACTGCCCAGGTAGCTTACGGATCAGACCCTGGCTAGTCAAAGGTTCTGTTGTAAACGACCCAGGAAAATTCACCAACATTGACCTGAGCAGCCTAGCAGTATCGTGCCCTCGAGCAAGTTATGTACTTTTTCATCTTTTTATGAAGATTAATTTATCTATTATTCTTTTGTACTTGTATTTTTGATTTGTTTGGCACATTGTCTGGATTCAGATGCGCATGAAATACTTACTATATATATATATATATATATA